TCCCCTCCCCCGGGACAGCCCCCAAATAATAGCCCCGCCTCCATAGGTCAGCCTCCCAACAACATAGCCCCACCCAGGCCCCGCCTTTGGGGCCAGGCTCCCAACAGCAGAGCCCCTACTAAGCCACGCCTCTGGGACCTTCCCCTACAAGGCCCCACCTTTACTTCGGGTCCCGCCCTTTGATTCGGGAATAGGATTTGAAGGCTGGTTTCTCTGCGCGACTTTCCAAAGGGAGCCCAGCGGCAACCTCTGTGACCTCTGCGGTACGCCTTTCACCGTGGCTGCACTTACATAGAGACTTTGGAGGAAAACAGCCATGGCCCATGTAGACACAGACCATGTCGTTTTTTGTTCAACACGGAATCACTATAACCTAGAACAAGGCTTGCTACATTGATAAATGAGGGACATTCTTTTTAAAAAAGTGATAATGATTACATCGCATCATCATTGTAAAGGATGGCATTCGACTGTGTTTAGAAATGGTTCAAACGACAACCTTTGTTGCATATACCTTACCACAAAAGTATGTATGCATGTATGTATTTGTTTTATACCGGGGATCGAACTCGGGCCCTTGCGCTTACCAGGCAGAAGACACAAAAGTATTTTTAAAGTTATATTTTATTACTGTGATATGAGAAGAAAGCACACAAGTATGCAGTCTTTTGTCAAATAGCTGTAAAAGTGAGTATTTCAATGAATTTTCTATGTCAAACTTATGAAGTAGGACTCCACTTTCTGGTCAGTTGGGTCTGGTGTTGCTATTCAAATCATCTGGCAGAGTTGGTGTACAGCTTGTAGAACACAGCTGTAGAATTGCCCTGTGCCTGGTTCAGCTTTCTACTGCCATTCAGAGTTCTCTTAACTTTGCTGGATAAAGTTTCCTTTTCCTTCCCTTAGAAAAAAATATACATTTCCTGAATTTTATGCTCTTGGGGGGGGTCAGATTCTCTGTTTTTCAAATGAAAACTAGATAAGAATTCTACAACTGGAAGGAAATTTAGGTTGCATGCTTTGTCCATGGCTGAGCTGGGCCCAGAGTCCTTGGGTTTGTTCTTAGTCCTTGCCATTACAACAATTAGCCTGACTTCATGTACTTTTTTGGAATGTAATCACACATCTTAATTATCTTACTTGACCTGAATAATATTGATTGTTCTTCCAAATCAAATATTATGAAAGAATGAAACCATGGAGGATATTAAAGCAATGTTGTATAGTTTCTGAAGGCAGTTTCAAAGCAATTCCCAAAGTTTGAGGGCAACAATGAAATAATTACATATGTCTGCTATGGACTACATTTGTGCCCACCTCCTAACGTCCAAGGTGATAGTTTCGGGGGTGGGGAGCTGTGGGAAGTGCTTAGTTTGCCCTTGTAGAGGACACCTTCATCCAGTATTAGCAGGCTAGAGTGGCACAAACATCTCACCCCTCCATAATTCAACTGCGTTACATTGGATGTAGCAGAGCTTGGCTGAGTTCACTCCCTGTCAAGGTCAACTGGTTCCAGCTAAACTCTGCCCCTCTGAATTAATTGTTTGTTTTCTTCAGCAAAGATATGATTGCATCCTCATTCTACAGTCCTGCCTGCTTGACACTTGTTATCAGCAGGTGTCTCAGGCCTGCCAAGTTTCCCCCCTTCCCACATTTGTAATGAGTAAACACCGGATGTCCTGGAAGTTTTTGTCTTTGCTGCCCAGAGCATTTTAGATCAGCCCAAGACTCAGTTTCTCTCAAGTCTCTGTCTTTGTGTTTCTTTTAATTCCCACTTTCCTCTCTCGCAGACATCATACTGGCTTGCAGGAGGCCAGGACCACTGCAGGGGTCTCTGACAACTCCCATTATTGCCCTTTCCCTATATGCCCTCGGAAAATTGAGTAATATCTGTACACAATATAGTAATCTGTCTATTTTAGTTGTCAAGCATGAGATTACTTGTAAATATGCTTCTGGAATATCCAAGGACTGTTATGGAGTCAAGCAGTTGTTTTCTAGGACAGAAGTTAATTCTATCTTCAGAGAATGATTTACTAAGGCTGCTGAGACCAAGTATTCAATTATTAGGAATTTGTTTTTACTCATAAAACTGAGAGTCTGGTGGATGGTCTTCAGCACTCATTTTTTTCATTCAACAAGTATTTAGACAATGACTGTGTACTTATTACTATTTTTAGTAATGGGGCACTAGCTGTGAACAAGCAGAATTCCTGCTTAAAAGGACTTCCTTTGTGTCAAATGATGAGCTACACCTCACATAGACACTGTGATAATAATGAGAGCACAGGGCCAGGGATTTAGCTCAATGGTGCTGCCACCTGCCTCACAAGGGCAAGGTCCTGAGTTCAATCCCCTGTACCAAAAACCAAACCAAAACAAAACAAAAAACAAAAAAACCCAACCCAAACCAAAACAAAACAACAAAAAAACCCCCAAAAAACAAACCAACAACAGCAACAAAAAACAAAAACCCACCAAAAAAACCCCAACCAAACCAACCCCAAAACAACAACAACTAAAAGCACAGAAACTCAGTCTTTAATAAGACTATTCTTGCCTATTGCCTTAAAAGCTACTATGAGTATTTTTCGATAAACATTTTGTGGCACAGCCCATTCCACTAATATATTTTTATCTATGTGCAAGGTGGGTAACATAGACTGGAAAAACAACATTTAAATATTTCCAGTTTAAATAGGAAGTGTTATATGCTTGAACTCTATTTTATGATCAGAATAAGTTTTGAGGGTTTTAATAAAAGGCTTTTAAATAATCTTTCTTAAGGGGCTGGAGATTTAGCTCAGTGGTTCTGCCGCCTGCCTCACAAGTTCAAGGACCTGAGTTTGATCCCAGTACCAAAAAAACAAAAAA